AATATATTAATTACAATTCATTATCATCCACACACAGTTCGTTAAAACTGAAATGTGTTTTGCTTAAATAATTACCATCTTACTGGAAAAAGCAGGAACACAGTTTTAGGGTAATGTTTTCTCCTTGAATAAATAGATGTAAAACCTTTTGTGATGTTAGTAATGGATTTATTAAAGTTTGTTTCGCAGCAGGGTGCTAGGTGAAATTGGAAAGACTAGGATATGGCCTTTTTTTCACTTGCAGAATGAATTAAGTAGGATTTGCTACAGGAATCTCCATAGAAAATGGTAATGTGGTTAGTCTGGAATCCATCCTGCAGCTCAGCAGTGAGCAATAAGTAATCCTCTTATTGCCTCTCACAAGATCATTATAGAAGAGTTTCTACATGCTTGTTAAGCGTGGCATGCTAAAAGTAAAGGGGAAAAAAAAAACTATTTCACTTTGGAGGTAGAATTGACATCTATTTTGATGCATAATCTATCAAGATGTTAAACTGTCACCATTTGTACTTCTGTTAGTACACTGCCATTATTTAAATGGATATGCTTTAGGTATTAATGCCTCTGTACATGTTCATCTTTTATCTGGCTCAATTTATTTTACAATTCAAAGCCAAACAATTAAAGGCACATTACGTGTTTCTGCAAACACATACAAATGAGACAGGTTATTTTCAACAACCACTGAACCCTAATTACAATTATAAATTTAATAATTTTTCAGCAGAAGTAATGATAATTCTGCTGAATTACTCAAAATGTGCTGGCAATTTGGAACGTTTCCGTATCTGCAGTAAAATGTATGTAAATCGCTAAATTACAAAAAAAATATTATTCCAATGAGCCCACACAGCAGTATAAAGTAGAAATCTGTGTACCATATAAGGTGTCTAATGTAAATTTGGTAAGGTTAACAGGAAAACTCCTTTTTGTGCATTGTGAGTGGCATTGTGAGACTGGACAAATATCTATTCTGTTGCCGTGTAGCATAGTGGTGTATGTCTTGTCCAACCTGGACTTCTTTATTGGCCTTGCCTGAATTTTGACCATTTCTCTATTAAAAATAAACATGCAACACTACTGCCCTTTTTTTTTTTTTCACTAAAGTGACAAAGTCAAAAAAAAATTTCCCTCCCCGCAATGTTAATGTCAGCACTTACCTTAAATGATGTTTCTTAATCCGATCTTCTTTCTTGTCCTTTTCATCTGTCCCTTCAGCGCTGCGGCGGGTCTTCGATCCAGCGCTGACTCCTCCCCAGATAGCAAGCAATTGAGCTGCAAGTTTGAAAATGACTTGCTAAACTATTGCAGACTTGCCAAGCTTCACAATTTTGTTGTACAATTACAGCAAGTCTGCATTGCAAGTCTCCAGATTAACGTGCTTGGCAAAAGTGCTGTACACCTGCAGAGCTCTTGCTAAAACCTGCTGGACTCGCTACAAATTTGCTACAGATTTGCTACAAATTCAAAAAGTGTCATCTAGAACTTGTGCTGCAAGTGTTCTGCAAGTTTACAACTTGCCAGCAATGTGTGCAGCAAGTTAACAAGAATTACAATTTAACTCTGCCACATGTTTGTGGCAAGTTATCCTTGCTATCCGGGTCTGTGCTTGCTGGCACTCCCTGTCCCACGGTGTCTGCATGCGGGTGCACTAACCTTAAGGTTAAGTCCATAGACTTAACGTTGTGTCTCTCCTCGCGTCCCAGCTGAAAATGTGATCTGCGCATGTGTCCACCCCAAGATCCTTTGCGGCCGCCTGAGCATTTTCACATTTTCGGACGGCAGGTAAGTACCCTTTTCAAAGCGTTTTGTTTTGTTTTTTTTTACACTTTTTGCATATATCTACTGCTTACTAGCAGTAGATATATGCAAAAAAACAGAGGCTTTACTTATCCCTAAGCATTTTTTTAGTATAGACATCATGTTTAAAGGGTCTGCTGTGAAATTGAATTACCATCCTTTTTCATACATATTTCGGGTGCTCCAGCAAACAGCTAGCCATGGGGTTCAAGGTGCCTTACCATCTGTTACAAGATTATCTCAATCTCATTATCGGAGTGACCATTTTAAATTATGGAGAAGCAGCAGTAAGGCTCCCCTTGCTCTGGTTAATAACGCTTACAGCAGAAACTTAGTTAACTCTGCTGGGGAGGTTCCATTGGAGTATGAAACAAATAAAGGAAGGCATGAAAGGCAGTAATCGCACAGTACTGTGTAGGCAATGTCAACAGGGGTTACCATTCCACAGCAGGTGACAGTAAAAAGCGTCAAAAAAATCTCTTGATGAAGTGATCAACAGATGAAGTTTAGTCATAGACTGCAATATTAGAAAAGTGAGACCAGGCAGGTATATTGTGCAATAAAAAACAAAGTGTATTAATACACTCTTACATAAATAAGATCGTGACTGAACAAAAAAAAATAAACACCTAAAATGTTCACTGCCATAAGAATTTTATTCCGTGCTCCAAAGAATGTAAGGGTCTTTGTTTTGTGGAAAAATTCAGTCTGTTAACACTTGCTTTAACTACTGACTGTAAAGGACATATAACATCTCTCCTATAGTTGCCTCTATTTGGAGTTAAAGCCTAATTGAAGCCCCAGGTTTTTTGTTTTATAGCTTTCGTTAGAGTGGCAAAGGGTTAGAACAATCTAAAACTCCAGCATCCAATTTGTTTCAATAAATTGAATAATTTGCCTTTTTTTCTACTTAAAGAAGATCAACTTTTAAATCACTTGATCATTACATGTCAGAGGAGGGCTGGAAACCTTTGACCTGAGGGGCACACACAGCCAACTAGCTCTATTATCATGGTAGGGACAGATTTCTGTAGACTAAAGAAAGTGTACCATGCAAAGTGGACCATGATGCTTTAGTGATTGGCAGGCATAGTGAAAAGTGGGTGCTCCAAATGGCACAGATTATTTGTGGCACATATTTTTACATCTTCCAGCATCAGCTTCCTTTGCAGCTGCTATCGTTCAGTCACGTGACTTTTAAAAGCTGCAAAGGAAGGCTTCATTCTGGCAGATGATGTAATCACTTGTCTTAATAGGGAGCAAGTATGATGCCCAGCATGTGTCACTGACTGTGGTTACTACTCTTATCAGTGCTTGAATAGGGATGTATCCCCACCAGTGGCCAACAACCCAACATATCTTTTTTTAGTACTGGCCCAGGGCACAAATGCCCCCTAGCCCTATTCACCACTGCTACAAGTTATTTATAGAATAACAGTTTAATAAAGTGTTTCTGCTGCTTTTTGTAGGCCTGATGGAATTGGAACTGTTACAGCTGAGGAGAAAGAGAGATTTGAAGAGATTAAAGAACGACTTGCTTTGCTCTTAGAAAACCAAATCAGTCACTTCAGGTAAAACATTTTTTGTGGCTAAATAACCATGTGACATGTTTTGTTAAAGAACTTCTAAGTCTTCTGCAAGGAAAGTCAGAGGATTTTGCACTCTTATGCAAATCTTCTCCTTCCGGTATTCTGGGAAGCCTACAATGAACATACTGATTAAAAATGGCTATACCTGCATTAGCATTACACTGTGTGTCCAAACATCTTTTTCTTGTGGAGAGATTCCTTTTACTGTTTATTATCCAGCAGCAGTGTTTCCTTTTATCACCAGTTGTGCAACCAAGCCAATAGGAGAGTAATACCAGGCTCTGATGTCTAAGATCTAATAATATTATAGTACTTTGATAGCTACAAACACCACTCTGTGACAGTAACATGCAATTTCATGACTTCACAATTCCACAGAGGTTTTGTGAAAACAGCTTGATAATGTTCTAAAGGCTGTTTTATGGTATTTCATGATAAATCATGTGGAAGTTAAATAAATAGCTAAGCTGTACCTAAAAAAAAACATTATTCCAATGTCACATTTCATTAAAAATAACTTTCCAGAATTAGTTCCTAATTGGTGGCCAGTGTGTATAATTGGTGCTGTGCATAATCCTAAATGAGATGGTGTTGAAAAAAGGGCTAGGTTATTTACATCTAATATGATCTTAATAACATTTTACTGTGTGCCCACTGGGACCTGTTTATCTGGGATTTTATGGGTAATCCCGGATCCATAACAATCATTTATAAACTGGATGGCTTGGTAGTTAAGGTGTGTAAACAAAGTATGAAGTACTCTGAAGATTATGTTCATTCTTTGAAGAATTGCAGCTCGAATAATTAAAATAGAAAAAAAATGTTGTAGGGTTTATTTAAACATGGATTACTGCTTAGCGAACGGCAAGCTATTTTATTATTCCTAATTAATATCCACATTATACTAATACTAATGAAGCTAAGCTGTGCATAAAAGGATATTTTTCATTAGAGCAAGGCAATATTCTCTGAGCCTAATTCTTACAGCATACTGTACTCAGAATGGTAGACTGGCAAGAAATAATATCTCATAAATGACCTGATGTCTCTTCTTCCTCGCTATGAAGCTATTGTGTGACACTGAAATGTCAATGTTTATGGTGTCAAACCAATCTTCTGAAACCTTCCAGGCATTCACTAATGTACATGTTATCAGAATTGATTGGTACAAAGCAGTCCAGCGATGGTATTTTTACTGTATTCCTTCACCCATTCATGCTCAGATAAATTTTATCAGCATCAGTTAACTTGACAATAATTCTACAACTTAAAGTATCGCCCTAACTGTCCCCTCCACTCTTCCAAAGACCTCTTCTCTATCTCCCTCGCCAGCTTCTCCCATACTCGCCTCCAGAACTTCTCTAGAGTCTCAAAATGTAGTAGATCCTATCGCACACCTGACCAGATGAAGCCCAAATGAAAACTGGGGGGTGCCAAAAGTGACATCGAAAGCCTCCACACATCAAATGCAAAATACCATATAGTCACTCGCACTCCGTTAGTAGATAGCAGTCAATCTTCTTTATTGACTGAACATGATGCCACATACACAAAGCAAGAGTCTCTCCCATCCTCTGGAACTCCTTACCCCAACCTGTCCCTCTATCTCCTAATCTGTCTGCCTTAAGTTGATCCCTAAAGACTCCTTTCTTCAGGGAAGCCTTACCCGCCTCAAACTAACCACTGAACTATCACCTTCGCAAACAATTCATCCCAACACAGCTACCTCCTCATGTATCATTTGCCCCTCCCATTTAGATTGTAAGCTCTCATGAGCAGGGCCCTCCTTTTCATCTTGTCTTGAATTGTATTGTAATTGTAACGTCTTCATTATATTGTAAAGCTCTGCGCAAACAGTTGGTACTATATAAATACTGTATAATAATACAACTAAGTTACCTACCTATATCATTTTATGTTGTTAAAAATCTGTAAGGCTACACTTTTTTGAAACTTTTTTTATAAGCTGATAAATTAACTTTTTAATAACTATTTATTGGGACAATGGAGTATATGCAATGTGACAGCTACAGCCTGCTGGAACTTAACCTCTTTCTGTATGAGGCACGTGGACAGTTAAAGCTGGCAAGTTTCTTTTGTCAACAAACTTATGTGTTCACCATAGTTGTTTGTCATGGTGATCAGCAGCAGAAAGGTGCACAGCTGTGCTCTCCTAGTTCTACAATGAAAGAAGATTAACATTTTATCAGTATGGGACAGCAGCATAACAAACGCTAGTCACCAGATTTCAATTAGGAAATAAGGCTGTGATTGTGATATAAATTATTATGAAATAAGAATTACATTTTTAATAATTTGATACTCATTTGGGGTTTCAATATTAACAGGAAAGTGGGAATCATGTTTTTGGGGATCTTTATTTGACATGGATCAGGTAACTCTCTCACATCCAACTGGTCAGCTGCCCGGGTCAGCATGCTGGAGCTGCCCGGGAGGGAATACAACACCATAAATGATTGTGCTAAGTGCTTTTTCTTGTTTTTTTTACAAATCAAAGCTACATCCTTAGAAACCTGTTAAAGTGTATCAAGGCAAAAATAATTATATATACACAGTATATACAGTGTATCTCCAATACATGTGCATTTCCCTGCGTTTTATGCCTTTTAAAGGCCCTGCAAATACAGTAAAATACATGCAGATGTTGTGGGCTGATAGCACAGCATTTTTGTGAACAGTATGGTTTCAGCCCTGCCCAGTTGTATTTTGCTAAACTACTAAATCTCTCTAAGTCTCTTCATCTCCACAACATAGAGGCTGATTGTTCTGTAGTTCAAGATAAGAAAAAAGAGGGCTAAATATTCCCCTTGATACATCAATTGACATATGCGCAGAACACAGGGCAGCTCTGAATTTCTGAGCAGGTCAACGGGTATTTTTCTGCATTTAATAAACAGAAATAACAAAACACATTCAATGGCATATTTAACAGAGCAAAAGTGAACAAAGAGAAGTTTGTTAGGGTTCACATACACTTTAATAGGAAACTATAGCCAAACCATTTTTTGGTTTAGTTCTCTCCTGGGTCATATTTACTAATGTATACCTGTGACCCAAAGTTATATAGTGGGATACTGCCCGCTATATGCTGACAGTGCAGAGCCACGCTGCAGCCAATATTGTCAGGATCCAACCCACCACCTGATTGACAGCTGACTCTGTCTCGCCAGAGCCAGCTGTACTCTCCCCCTTCCCTTTCGGTCCCTCCACTGAGTGCTGGAAGAGCATAGAGAAGAGGGGGGGAATCCCTGTGGGGAGTAGTGACTGATAGTCACCACTCTCTGCAGGGAGAACCCATGAGCTGAGCGATCAGTTATTACGCTATATAGAGCTGACGTATGAAAGCTGCAGTGTCACATGCTGGCTCAAACTATTGGAAAAGTATATTTTTCTCTCCCAATAGTTCTCCTTCAAAGTCACAGTTTCTATGGCCAAGGTTGTGTAAAACCCCCCAAAAAACTGACAAATGTGGCCCCACTCAAGCAGCCAGCCCCCCAAACAACTTGTAGGTGTGGTTTAAAGGGTATGACCCCGTTGCTTAGCATACGTTACCTCACAAAGGTGTCTCCCACTTTCCTAATCATAAATGAAAAGCTCTGTAACAATAAGTGTGACACATTTATAGTTGTGTATTTTGTTTTTTCTCTACAGGTACTGTTTTCCCTTTGGAAGGCCGGAAGGTGCTTTGAAAGCCACGCTGTCTCTTTTAGAAAGGGTATATATACATGTGTCACTATTTCTGTTTTTTTTAAAATTTATTTATTGACTGACAGTGTGCATCACAGTAAACACAGTCATGAACATTGGCGCGTCAAAGATAGCAATTTCCACGATATCACACTTATCCAGTTAACAGTACAACATTTTCTTGGTAGAGATAGCCGCCAAAGGCGGGGCAACGTAGGTATTACCAAAAACAACATTTCAAAGGCACCGTGGATCTTCATCTTACATGCATAGTAGCAAATCAAGATTCTCATCAAATTTGGAGTTGTATGTGTCAATATTTCTATATGAAAAGCACTGTATTCACTCTTAAAAAATGATATGAATATAAAAAAGATAAGTCATGCAATCATGCACATTCTGTAGTAGCAGAGGATTCTGGTACCTGTATCTTTCAACGTAGAAAGGGTAGTTTCCAGCACATTGGATCATAGTGCCGAACAGGTGAATGTGTAAACAAAGAGTTAAGTTGTCACAAGAGTCTGTGAATGTTTGGGTTACATTGAGGGTTAGGCTGTAATCACACCACTTCCGTTGCATTTAGCGCTCATTGACACATTGATGTGCCTTTTTTTAATGTGTTACGTTGATGTGCATTTTTTTTTGTTCACAGCAGGAACCAAAATACATTATTTTTATTTCCTTAATGTGCAATGCAGCACTGTGACGTGTTGCAACATATTGCAGTGTGATGCGCTGCAATTCAATGCAGTGTGCTCCATTTTCACTCTATTGCCTATTGAAAACAATAGATTTCAGCTTGTTATTACAGTGGGCTTGCATTATGTAATACAGCAAATGCACATGACGTGAATAGGCCCATATTGTTAGGGTTACAGAGGGGCTTAGTTTGTTAAGAGCCTTAGGTAGAGTATTGCTGTCTTTGATAGGAGCTCTGAAGACAAAACTACAGCACTGATCTCTTAGCAATGTGAACTATTGGACTGAATTTCTGTCAATGCTTAAAGTGCTGGTGAAGCTTTTTGTAACCAGCCACAATGAACACAAGGCAAAGAGTGGGTTCTTAGCAGGACTCGGAAACATATTTGAAAAAATGTAGTGGCATAATAAAAAGCCTGCCTCCACCACAACAGCCAAATGTGACTATATTGCAGTAATCAGTTGCACTCTTTTGACACTTCACTCATGTTTCTGCTGCGGCCTTGCTTGAGCTGGAGTATCCAACCCCTTCATACATGAGACTGTGAGCTGGGCTAAATATCAGAAGGCGATTTAGGGGAAGAACACATTTTCTGTTCCTATGACACTGTTGAAAGACCTAAGCTGGCTATTAAAGTAAATCTGTTTTTTGCCCATGCAGCGCTGTCATATGAAGTAGCAGACATGTCCTTTGTTCCTAGCAGCTGAATAGAGCAGTGTGAAAGCAAGGCCTCATTCACACCTAGGCATTTTGGCACGCATTTTTGTCTGCACTGAAACGCTCATGACAAGAAATCCCATTTATTCCTTTAAGACCTTTTAATAAATATGTATGTCTGGGTCACTTGAGCATTCATGTTTATGCTATGTTATGAAGTAGGGCATAGCCATACTTATCCAGCATTGGTTTATCTTGGGGGGGAGGGGGGGGGGCATTAACAAACATCAGAAAATGCTAAGTAACTGGTAGCCTGGGGATATCTGGTGCTGTTTGATTAAACCTATACACATAAGGATTTTCTTCAGGACATTTCAAAGTAGCTAGGTTGAGAGAACGATCATTTAATTTAAATGGGTATCTTTTGAGGCGTTTTGTCAGCAAAATAAATACTCTGTAAGCATTACAATAGCGAAAATAAGCTTTATCCAAGTTACTACCTGACAATAATATCAAAAGGCAGCATGTTCTATCAAAAGGACATTTTACATTGGTTTTTAAATACTTTTATCAACTTGGCGTCGTGTTTGCTTAATTGTAACATTGTAAATTGTAACTGTACAGTTAATGAGTTTTTCTAGGGTAAAAGTTAGTGTTCTTTAAACAATTGAAACTATGTATTCCATATTCCTGCATCATAATTAAAATATCTGAGTATATCACAAAATGCATTAGTTAATTAAATTAGGCTTCTTTTTGTATATGCAGAAAAATTCTGACAATTGATTTAGCAGCAAAGATTTCTAAATTAAAAGGGGTTTTCTACTTTGAGAAATTAGAAATAACCTCCACCCATGGGCAGCAGCTGAACAGCAAGGCTTATCTTACACACACCCTCCCAGATCAGCTTGTAGCAGGTATAAAGCTAAAGTCATGTTACTGCCAAAATGCTTCCAATCCACTGACTTATCCTCGCCCTCCCTTCTTAAATAGTCCTAAAAGTCTAATTCCCTTGTAGAAGCTCACAGGCAGCTCAATTCCCACCTACGTTTTCTTTGCACTAGCAGAAGTTGAATCAGCTGAATATGGAAGGGTGCATCTCTGCAGTGGTAGAGGGCAGAAAGGTGCATACTGATACAGTGGCAGTGAGTGCTGAGGCATTCATCAGTGCAGAAGCAGCCGGGGGTACAGTGTGAAGTGGGAACGTGGGAGAGCGGGGCAGAGAGGTAAGGGGTCAAGCACAGTGGGGAGAGTGGGATTTGGTGTGCGGATGTGGTGTGGGGGGAGGAACATGTGGGTCAGGTGTGGTGGTAGGGCAGTTAAAAGCATGGTGATAAGAAGATGTTTTGCTTTTTTAAATATTTAAAAAATATATATTTTTAAAACATTTATCCTAAGTAGTATTGCAATAGTGAAGGGAATATAGGCATTTACACAAAATATAGAAAGCTTAATGGGTTAAAAGGCACAGCGAAAACCAGTAACTCTAGCCATACGTATTCACACACAAGCAGTCAACAATAAACTATACTCCCGGCCAAAAAAAAACTCACCACCTGGATTCTGGGCAGTGTTATGATCTGCTTCAGTTGATCAGGTCTAGGTTCAGCAACGTTAGGTGCCCATAAAATGAGCTCAGCTGCCTACCTGAATATAGATGGTGCTGGTCTACAGTGATGTATCAACAAAAAGGAAACCATAAAGTTAACCACCAGGTTTTTTAGTTGATACATCACTGTTTATATATATCATGACCCCCTGGCTTCAATTTTCAAAACAGCTCTTCGCCTTTATTGCGATATATGATCATGTTAATATGTCTTGTTGGCCAGGTTTGGGCATTAGATATATATATATATATATACATATATATTTACACTTCTTTGAATTCACACACTGGGGCTACCAATTACTTTCAAATACAATTGTGTTTTGATTCATACCCATACACACACTTCCAATCCATTTAGTGTCCAGGCCCTGCTTGGGGTGGCTAATCCATCTTCCTCCACCCTGGGTTCACTGGCCCTTGATCAGACATTAGCCTGTACCGAATACCTGGTGAAACTCACACTGAAGGGGTAAGACTCACCCAACACATTTTTTAATTCCAAATTTGATATGCATAAAAATGTTTTGTTTTTTTAGTGTAATATTTACACTCTGTTTCCTGTATGACTCCTAGATTACTCCACTCTGCTCCTGAAGAAGCGCCTTAGGCACGAAATGAGTCGAGCCTTACACTACAAGACAATTATCACCCCTTTAAGATCTATTGCTCCCACCTGAGATGTATTAACCTAATGATATCCTCTTTTTCTTGAGTCATAGACGATGTTATCCTTATATATTTAAGACTATGATTATATAGGTTCACCTGATTATGGAACATAAGGGGTGATAGGAGTTATTTGCAATCCCTGTTATATGTTTTATATATGCTGCTATGCATATTAACTGATTTTAGTAATTTGTTAATATATTTATACTTTTTTACATACCCTTATGTGACTGAAGTTCCTTTGGCATGTGTCCCCTCTGGAGCCAAAAAACCCCACCTTTCTCTATCCTCTCCTTCTTTTGTTGAAGTATGTAGAAAGGATTTTTTACTTATCCATAACTTTCGTAGCCTGTCTTCTTGAGGTCAGAGACTCCAGGTATTGAAACCAGAGGGTCAGCATGACAGACGGGTAACTAGCATTTTCAGAAGCAGAGCCCCAATGTTTCCTAAAAGAAAGGCTTCCTTTAATGCCAAATCTATTTTTTCCAACAATTATTTTCTTCTACAGAGAACGATATAATTGTTTTATTTCAGAGGTCTCTATTATAAAATTATTTTGACCTTCTCAGCAAAGAAAAGAAAGTGTTTTAATATCCAAACATTTTTTTTTATACGTGAAAAGCAATTAGTGAAGTTATTTAATGATTCAGTAAGGTTTTAAATCTCATAGAATATGTTTTACATTACAGTAGCGGCACTATTAAAGTGCATTAAACGTTAGCATTTACACATTACTTAAATTAGTAGGGCAGATTATTATTTTGAGTAATACTACATCCTAAATGAGTTTCTACTGCCCTCCAGATCCCAGTCTTGGCAGCTTAAAGTGCAACTGATGGCAGAAATGTTTTGTTTGTTATTTTGGATAGAACACCTATCCAGTTTTTATTGCTATCTGTGTCCCAGTTAGGGAGACTCACCGTCTCTGTTTGTCCTGGTGACTGTTATTACTGAAAGTTAAAGAAAATCCACCATTTTGAGCTGTCACCAAAACAGGAATGTATGGAAAATCTTCCAGCGGGGACACTGGTTCTGGTGACCCTGCTGAACACCAAGGATTTCCCTCCCTGTTGTTGCTATGGGACAGGAAGTGAAGATAAATCTCCTCAATGGGACACAGATGTTATAAAATATCTGACAGGGGCTATAACCATATCTTACTTTATCTAAACTAAAAAGTTATTCGCTTCAGTTCTACTTTAAGTGACATGGTCACTAGTCATTAAATACTAAAGAAAGTCTAATGTTTTCAGTCAAACCCTTCCTGCCAAATTTGCAGTAAGATGAAAACAACAGAGAATAAATGTAGTAGAACCTGTAAATAAGATTAGTAAATGTTTGCACACTTTTGATGTCATTTCTGCTACTGCTTCCTAAACAAAGTGCTGGGCTGTTTATGCAAACTGCAGTTAACTGTGTTGGGTCTGCTTAGCTCAGACCACCATCAACTGTGTGCCAGCCTGACTCAGATTATACCCATTTTTCTGTAGCTTGCAGACAGCCTGGAACTCATAATGTGAGCATTACATAGTTGCCAAAATTTCCAAATAATTAGGAAGGACACTTGGCACGATCTCTGGCTAGAGATGGAGTTATGGCCATTGTGGGTATAATTACAAAATAGACAAAGATTCAGAGCTCAAGAATTGTAGTGCAACACCATTTCACACAAAATAGGGCCCTTGGCAAAAGAAGGGGCCCCATATGTGGTCATTCTGCACTGCCTGCAAAGGGTGTCTCAACCGAATAAGCAATATAAAACAAATATAAAAAGGACATCTAAAATGTGGATGTATTTTTAAGAGTTACAGCTAAATCAATCTACATGCTAACAGCATAAAAATCTTCTAAAATCAGCAGTATAACACCTCCTGTAATCAGCAGCATAACAGAGATATCATCTAGAAACTGTATTCTGTTACATCGGAAGAGAAGTGTAGCTTACAAAAACTGGGCTTCAGCAATCAACCGCATGTGTTCCGAATATTCTGAAGCATAATATATCCACAGTGTACAGTATTATTTTGTGAGCAGGTGGTTGGGTCCTTCAGGCCAGCTATAGAATGTGAGGCCATGTAGACCTAGGGGAACACTTTGGAGAAACAAAAGTTTTTGGGTACTTATATCGCCATGGCAAAAACTGCACTTGGCCTTATTGTGGTAAACATTGGGTGTGGGTTAAATGGGCATAGTTGAACAAAGCTGAGCATACTCATCCCAAGGCTGCATGTTTGGTTTTTTTATTGTACAATTATGCTGTAAGCTAGTCAGAATTCAATGTATAGCGGTTAAAAATAGAAAAAAACTTCAGTTCCCCTATATGGTAAAATTATGTCATAGGTATCCCTGACTGATCTTTTGAATTTAAAATGTAGGTTTTGATGAAAGATATTGCAACACCTATACCTGCTGAAGAAGTCAAGAAGGTTATAAGAAGATGTCTTGAAAAAGCAGCCCTGATCAATTACACTCGACTTACAGAATATGCCAAAATTGAAGGTTGGATATTTATATGATGTGATGTTCATGATTATGAACTTGAGCTGATTTTCCTTAAGAATAATGACATTTTTTTCATAAGATTGATTTAGGTTTTTGTCTATAAGCTTACATCCCATAAATATTTTGCACCATACATAGGACCCCAATTTGAGCTATCCTATTAATTCTGTATACTTCTATATAACAATATATGCAACGTATCAAAACTATACCAAAATATTTGATTCCATGTTAATTACCTCAAAGTTTATTTATTTGGAGTGCAAAATTTAGTAGAAACACCTAAACACATTCACCTTAAATGGATCTATTGTAATGCTATTTTTTTTCTTTAAACTCTGGTCAACATGTTATCTTATATTGATTAGGGAATTTTAAAAGCAAAACAGCAATGGTGTGTGAGTAGATCCAAATCAGATAAAGGGTTTATTTGACACACGCGTGCGGGGAAAGGCCTTAGTCTGTCAGGCCAATTCCATCCCCACTCTAGTTCATACAGCTTATAAAGGTCCACACATCAAGATACAGATTAGGTTACATCATTGTTCGGTTTAACAAAATTCTAAAATCCTGAATCAGCATTATTTGTTCCTCACGTATACATAGCAAGTGTCTGAGTTTAGATAAAACTAAAAAGCTCCTAGAATAGCAATTTCTCCAATGATTTTAAGAGAACAGCTAGCACCCTACAGATAAGAGCTAACACCCAAGCATAGAACAATTCCTTACAATATTTATTTTCACTAAAGATGTGAAAAACATGTTTTGTACACGAGGTTTTAAAGTCTATAACTGTATTTAGTATGTATGTTTTTCTTTAATATAATATACATCTAGAATATGATCGTATAGTGGAATATCTTTAACCTGTCATTTTAGATGTCATGTCATTTAGTTCTTGTAGTGTGCCTTATCTCATACCATATTTACTAAACAGTCTTACTTATTGGATACACTCCATAATATGCTTCATCGAGAATAATATTACACTGGCAAAATGGAGTCTGAAAATGTGATTCAATAGGGATCATCAATTCTCCCTACACAATATTACCACTACAAGTAGTTATCATAATGTCACTAATAGCAACATTTTGCAAATAGTGTTTTTTTTGCATGTTATGTGTATGCTATAAAATGTATTACATTATTATAGGAAAAGTAAACAATTTATTTTTTGTGTGTAATAGTTCCTTTTATAAAAGATAAAAGTATGGGTCACTACTTGATTGGCACAGAAAACATGGGGGGGAATTTATGAAAACTGGAGCAGAGAGAATCTGTAGCAGTTGCCCATGGCAACCAATCAGCATCTCTCTTCAGTTTGCTCAGGTAAGATTTGAAAATGAGACAAAGAAGCTGATTGGTTGCAGTGCAAATCTGCTCCAGAATTTGTTTGCTCCAGTTTTGATAAATTTCCCCCATTCTGTTTGTGCATTCATTTTTAATCAGTAAGTAGTGAAGTCAGATGATGAGGATGACCACTGAGAAACGTATTGGTTTGAAAAACTAGCCCCAGTTGGAAAGTAAGGTCTGTTTAAGTCAATGCTTTAGTTAGAAGTGGTATGTGTCTAAGCTTAAAGGAACCCATTTGTGAGGTTATGTTTTTTGAAGTTTTGCTATACAACTTTTGACTACAGCTTTTCTCACAAAGCTCAGATCCAGGCTAAGCACATCACTTTTTTTTGTTTTGTTTCATTTCTCCCACACATTCACTTTTTGGTCTGGTATTTGCACACAGTCATATAGTTGCACAAAAGTGTATGTTATCCATATCAAAATATATTTCCACTGTAGTCTTTGACAGCAAAGATTACAGCCTGTGCATTTCTCACCTCTTCCTCAATTTCTTATTCTCCTAATAGGATTAAAAGAAGTATTGTTTTGGCAGGGGTATTAGATGGGGTCCCCTGAATAGTCTTCCTGCCCCTGTTTACCCTATATTGACAGGGAATTGGCTGTGGTCGTGGCACAGTTAGACCTAAGGAGACTGTATTTGCAGGCAGCATGAGGCTGGGGATGAACATCTTTATTTTGTTCACTTACTATTCCAGACCCTCACCCAGGGATGCAGGGCATATAGAGCAAACTTGCATCAGGCCTGTTGCTCTTTCCTGGCTTTTGACATTGTTTTTGGTCTCCTAGAGCCTCTAATGATATAATGTATGGGAAAGCTGCCAGTTCTTGCCATATGGCTTGTCAAAATAGATGCTTTTTTGGGAACTCAAAGTCATTCCAGACACTAGACAGATCTGGATCTGTAGGAGTTCCCACCTCTCTTGGTAACACAATATTGCTCTCCTAGTGAGGTAAGAGAACCAGTTTGTAATTCCTGTCTCATTTTAATGTTTTTTTTTTGGAGAGACTAGTAAAAGTATGTCTGTGTGTGCACAGGGAGGACATATGTGATGTCTGACACATGTAATGTGAAGAAAGGGTGCTATTTCACAAAAAAGCAGATCTTCTCAAAAATCTAAATTAAACAAATATGTGATATCTGCTCTGTAAACATTTTTTTATTCACACAAAAAAATTGTTTGAAATATAAACATAGTAGCAAAAGAATCACCATGCATGATGCAGACCTTAATGTAGCTATGCGAGCCTTAGATTAGTAACACAGTAAAATCTATAGTTCCAAACATACTTCTGTACTTAGGTTTTTATTATTTAACTCATTGAGCCCTTTTGATACGAAGGATGGTGAGATATAGCAAGAAGAAGTGAAGATAGAGAAGGATAATACTGTAGTTCACAAAGTGAAAATTTAAATTAATCACAAAATAAGAGATCATTTGATAGAAAAAAACTGGTATTGAAGATATATATAAAAAAACATCCCCCTTTTGATTGAGGTCCAGTCAAACACAGATGATATGGAGAATTAGGTCCCAAAGGTTAAAACCAGATGTAAGGACAGCAGATGTTCTTGTATGGCAAGAAGATGCTTTCAAGTGTATTCTTCAAAAAGGTAGGCGTTTGTAATAAAGCAGATACAACACACCGCCAATATGTTTTCTGGTGCTTTTGGTGGTCACTTAGTCAGGAAAGGTGTACAACACACTAAGCGATAAATGAAAGATACAAATAAAAAAATAAAAAACATTTTAAATAGTGAAAAAATTATATACTGATGTTCATTAAAAATAATATAATAAAAGTTGATGGAACAAATGATTACATGATTTAATAATATTAATGGTCATTAGTGTTAATTTCTTATTTGAAATTAATGAGTACTGATGAATTGGGGGAAGAATAAATAGATTAGGGCCAGTAGTTCCTTATTTCACATATGTGTCCATAAATATAAATTCATTTTTGTGGGTATGTGCCAATATACATGGGTGGAAACTGTAACCGACATGAGGTTCTGATAAGTTGATTACAGATGGAAACTAAAATTGATATAAAGCGCATAAAATTGAGTGTGCATTATTGAAAGAACCAAAATAGTTTATATGCATAGGCATGAAGTACACTGGAAAAAAGTGCAAGGAGAGTTACATTTTAAAAGGTAGAAGTGCGTTTGCTCCCATAGCCAGGAATGTACTAGGCCAGCAGGCTCTGTATGCAATCTCTTATAACAGCCAGCTTGCATTATACAAGGGAATTTGCTCCTAGATTTTTGTATCTCTGCTGGCATGTATGCATGCTGGGCCAGGGGATAGGAGTGATGTGTGGTGGGGAATGGGGATGGACCATGCTATTTACTACAAAGATCACAAAGAAATGCTGGAGAGCTTTTCAGTGTGGTGCATACACATGCTTGGTTTACAATGAAGTTTGAAGAAGTTTGTCAAGACCTGTAAAGCTGGGCCATGTTTAGTTTGTATTAGTCTTTGGTGAACACGCACCTTTCAGTCTGCAACTGCAGGATCTATGCAGCATAATTAAAGCCGGTGGATTGGAGGGGTGAGATTTTCTGTTATTTTCTAACTGATAGCAATGTTCTAATGTGCTGGAGGAAGATGGTATCCTTACATTAAGAGAAGTATTTGTTTAGTGGTTTTAGATTAAGTGGGTGGTATTAGGTAAAGTGATATTGTTGTAATAAAACATGTTTCATGTTAAAAGATATGATGGCGGAAGGATAGTTAAAAGATATGTATAAAGTGAGAATGATGGAACTATACAAAGAAGTAAAACAGATTAAATAGATTGATACTGATCTTAGGAGACCTGATGTCTGAAAGACAACCTTAAAAAGTAGAATGTGTGAGACCATCACCACCATTAACAAAATACAAAACATAATTATGGGAGGAGACATTGCAATAGTATGTGAAGTGATCATAACAGAAAAATGAGCATTAAATATAAACAGGAATGAATGAAATGAAAGGTCTATAATTTTTATCATAGGTGTATTTTAAATGACAGAGACAGAATATCAACCAAAAATCCTGAACAAAACACGATACAAATGTGCAGTTCAGTGAATAAAATAAGTGTTTGATCCCCCTACCTACCAACAATAATTCTGGCTAATTAAGTCCACTATCCTGAGAAAAATGTGACCCCAAGTTGATGAGGGCCTGGAAATTCTAAATTTCCAAATAGTAACAATCTAGGATAGATGCTGAGTATGTAATCTAGTCAATCTAAGTTCACTTAGGTATGTAACTGTAACTGATCTCAAAAATGGTCGCCAACAAAGCCCAGAGCCCTGCATTATACATGAGATAGCCGAGGGACAGTCCAAAATGCCAAAGTAGAGAGGAGAAAGGTGAGCGACGATTGCCAAAGGAGCAGTAATCAGGTAAGTAAAAAATCTTGTACACAGCTCCCCTAGTCAATAACTTGCAGTTAACCTTTGCAGTGCAGGGGTACCCCCACTGCAAGATGAGTTTGTTTTGTTTTTTAACTAGGGATAGGCTTTAAGTTAATGCACCCAATTACCCCCTCATAAGGGATGGTAAGACTACCCCAAGCATTAAGATCTTATCATAGCTGGGATATGTCAGATTTGAGGTACTTGCAATCGCAGTAGACAA